GAGGGGCTGCGGGGGGAGGCAACCCCCCTAAATCTGCCCCTATATGTATATATATTGTTTAGAAAAAAACAGATGTTGTAAAAGATCTCCAATCTTGTAACAAAATCATAAAATCAACCTCGGTGGAATATCGAGATGTTTCATATTTAGCTCAGAAAGTTCTGATCACAATAACCAGTCCGTAAAGTAACCAATTGGAAAAATTTCTGAAATTTGTTCACAAAACTTGGGATTTTCATAGGCAGTTTTGTTCTCTCTTCTTTTGAATAAAAAGATCATACTGAACAAAAACAAACAAAAAGTTTTTTGATTCCAGAATTTAAATAACACAGAAAAATTACGTTTGAAAAACTTCCGCGCATAAATAAAAGAAGAACAAGGAAACATTGAGACCAGTGTTTCCCGGCAAGAAGAGACAATTTTAAGATTTTAATTTTAAAATCATATAGCAATTAAATTGATCCGATGCCGCACTTCATCATCTACGAATGTTTTCTGTTTTCTATGACCTTTTCAAAAACAAAAAATCATCAATTTGGTTTCGAGAAAGGGAACAGACTCGGTTTTTAATTGCATAACTCCAAAGACAGCAAATCCAATCTTGGAAGAACGCCAAAAACACCAGTTAGCTGCCTATTCTGTGGTGAATTTATGAGCAAACATCAAACACAACAGTTGATTTTCTGAAAACCAAAAAACTATAATCAAAAACTTGTTACCACGAATGTACAGATTCCCTATGTGACGCAGAATTGAACTTATTTGGTTGTTTTGACAATTATCTATTTCCGCAATTATATGCTTTCGAATACAAGAATTGGGTAAAAAACAAAAAAATTTGGAGTTTTTCGTTGTGGTTCGTCATTTGTAAATGACTGAAGATCAAAACTCTTTTACAAGTTCTTACGAAGTTGTCAACTAATTGTAAAAAATTGAAAAATGATTTTCAGTACCATTCTAGACTTAAGGAATTCTACTTTTAAGCTTTGAAAAAAGTACTAGTAAATATTCTGTTTGGATGAAACAAATTTATTACCTACAGGGTTAACACACGCTGATTTGGCATTGTAAATTATCTGGAAATACGCAAAAAAAAACATCTAAAATTGAAACATTGCTATTTTTATTACAGCTATTTGAATTCCGTCTCACATCTATTGTGTAAAAGTTAAGAATTGAAAGAACTAAAAAAAACTATAAAAAAAAAGATATAATGCTGAACAGACTGGTAGTTGTTTGTGGTACCAATAGACGTATAACTGATACTGAGCTCAAACGTTTAAGCCATGTGGTTGCGAGCAGATTCTTTTTCTTCGGTGTTGTTATCTCTGGGCCCTTTTACCATCGTTCTGTTTTTTTACTACTTTTCTTCTTTTGCGTCGTTTTTCCTTCTTTCGATTTTTCTTTTTTATTTTCATATTGGTCGCCAACTTTTGCAGTTTTCATTAGAAAAAAAAACTGTACGTCATGTCTAAATTTTTCGTTTTCGGCGGATTTTTTTTTCTTCTTGAATTAAACTTTTTCTTGGATTTTCTTCTTGAATTAAACTTATGGGGTTTTGTGCACAGATTTTGTTTTCAAATATGACTTGCATATGCTCTGGTTTTTGATTGGCGACTTGTTTATATGACTGATGATGTGTTGTTTTTTTTGAGGCTCTTTTATGATTCTCCTTTTCTTAGAACCAGCTTCTGTTTTTGTGGACGCAAGATTGTGTTAGTTTTTCCGGGACTTTTGAGTCCTGTTTAGTTGTCTGTTTTTTCAGCATTGATCTGGTTTCTCGATTTGTTCAAATGTAACTAAGGAGCAGTTTGCGGTATGACGTGTAACATTTTACCTCAACAATGGTTTCATGTCTGTGTATACGGATTTCTGGTTGCAGATCTAGCCGGTAGCTTCCTTTTTTGTAACGGTTTTGCCTGCCATCCAACCAGCAGAACTGTAGGTCCCTGACCAAATCTTTTGATTGGCATTGCTCCAGCTTAAATTATTCGATGAATTATTTATTATTTGATTAATTCGGTTGAAGCGTGTTTACTTTTCAGTACTTAAAAGCCTCGAATAGTTTACTTTTTGTGATGAAGTTCCCTAATTCTCTTTTTTTTTGTGTTGAATGCTACATCGGATACTACTTTGCACGGCGAGTTTTTAGGATCGTTTTGCTTGACACAAATAGACTTTGTCTGAGCCTATGGCCCATAACTTCCAGCGGTGCAAAAACCGTTTGGTTTTAATTACTTAGCAAAAGAGTTGTGTTTTTGCACGGTAGTGCGTACTTGTCTGCCCCTAAATTTTTTCAGACCGTATTTTTACAGTAAAGCGTTGCATGAATCTATTCACTATGACCACTGTGGGGTTAGCAACTATTTTCGGCTGTCTGGAGTTTTGACTACTTGTCTGCTAACGTGCATACGCCTTCATTCGCTTCGACCGGTAATGATCCAGCGAACTCGATTTGTACTCTTCGATTTGAACTTGTTTTTTTTTAATTGTATTCAATCAAAAAAGTATGCTTTTCTGATTTTGAACCGTATACTTTTGTTTCCGTTCTCCTGGCTGATAACTAGGTTTGAGGTTTTGCATCAACAGTTCAACTACACCTATGGCCCTGTGGTCGTCCTCTGGTGCAAAAAAAAACAGTTTGTTAATGTTTGAGTTACAAAGAAGCTATAAACATTTTGCCCTGAATTGATTTGCTTGCTCTGCACCTTATTTTTGTTGGGATACCACTACCTGCCACAGCATGTAAATTTTCTTGATATATCCATCAAAAGCTTAGCAAATGTTTTGGTTCTTTGCATTATTCACTTTATATCTGTGGTTACAAATATATTTGCGTTTTAATTCAGTTCATCCGGCGATACCTCCGTTTTTTGTTGGTTTTGATCACTGATTCCGTTTGAAACATTTGTAGCTTAACGTTGAAGAAGTTTCATTTTTCGTAATACGACAACTCGCAACAAAAGACAACACACCATAAAAAACAACTCGCATTAAAGGACAGCTGGCAATATACTCACCGTCGCATCGCGCCAGCGTTTAGCTAGCTTGCCAACAGAGGGTATGGTCTTATACGAAATTCAGAGCCAGTTATTGCACGCTTAGAACACTTGCCGGCGACCTTAAGTCAAACTTCTTAGAATATAAGATTCTTTTTGAATATTTGCGATTTCCTTAAATTTTGCAAATTGTCTTTTTTTATGAAGTTTATGTTATTGGAAAACGTCACTGGGTTTTTAAGTTTTCACTCTTAACAAGTAGGAGTAAAGTTTCATCAACCAGTGATTTGTTCAGCATAATTTCTCTTGATTTAAGACTTTGGTTTTCTTCAGGAGAAAAGTTTTCTAAATTTTCCTATTTTTTTATTATAAATATTCAAGTTTCTAGATTGTTGTGCGGATTTGCTGCAAACTTTGTTTTTTTTTAATCCAGTCACAACTGAATATTTATATAGCTCGTAAAATTTTCGTTAATTTTTGGTTTATCGCAGACTAGCGCGATTTTGTATTTATTGTTTTTCCAAAATAAGTCTGCCTTTAATTACAATTTTTTTACTGTTATAACCAGCTATATCTCTATTGACGTCAAGGACTGGAAAGTGTTTGTTCCGACCATTGAAAGTGGGAAGGAACTTTGTATTCGGGTGTGTTTTCGTTTTTTTTTCTTGTTTTCCACGCAAAATTAGAAACCAGAGTTAACCAACAGACTGGCTTGAGTGATGTTTCATAACAAAGCCCTTTCAGCTGTGATTCAAACCAAATTTAATCATTTCCTATAAAATTTGTAGGTCGAGAAAAACTAGTTCAAATTTTTGGTTTTTTGTCTGATTTCGAGCGACGAAAGCCAGCGAGCAGGCTTATTTATGCTTAACTTTCTTTTTTGTTGTCTTCCAGGCAAAATCAGGTAGCACAAACAATTATGGGAATGGACCGAGTGAAATCTCATGTTCAAATCCTTTCAGTCGTGATTCTAACCACATTAAAATAATTACGAGGATTCCCAGTATTGAGAAACACAGATTTTTAATTACCAAAATTGAGCAAATAATGGCAGCGAGCAGGCCGTTAGTTGAAACTACAATTTTTGTTTAATCTTGCGGCACTACGTCCATGTAGAATTGTTTCAGTGATGCGTTCTTTTTTCTGCTATAAATACACAAGTTTCATTAGCTTACGATTATTTTCGTGATCATAGGATATTTTCTATTTGCTTCCTAAAAACTTTTGTCACAATAGTTTTTTTATTTCTCGTTCGGCCAATTTCACCTAAATTTATACCTTCCTTCCTGTCCCAAAAAACTTTATTTAAGGTTTTGTCAATTTCAAGAAAACATTATTACCTTTTTTAATTGCTTTAGCCATATTTTTACTCTTTTTGCCTGGTTCCTCGCCTCCCAAAACAAAATAAACTATTGCCGGTATTTTTTTTTATTTTGATCAATTTTCATTCGTGTTTTCAAAATTGAGGTCTGAATTTTACTTTTTGGAAGGATTTATTTTTCACTGATATTTGGATTTACCTGTTAAAAACTTTTTGCGTTTTGCTGAGCTGGAATTGGTAAAAATTTTCAATTTCCGAGAAGTTTTGAATTTTGATCGTCAGATTTTTTAGCACTTGAAAAACATTCATTTCTAAAATTTCTATCTAACAGTTTTTCATGCCACAGCAATCTCTTTGGCGTCATATATGCGTAGTAGTGCCTTTTCGACTAATATTTTTGAGAGACATCAAAAAAGTCCAATTGACTTACGACTTTTTAACAATGACACAGTTGAATGATAAAGACTTTTCATAACAATCGTTAAAAAATACTTCGTCTCCAAGTAGGTCTAGTTTAATTACTGAATACATCGGCTGGAAAAATTTTGAGGTATACTTTTTCTTTCCGTCAGAAATTAAAACATATTTTACCGCTACCAACCGCTGATTTAGATTTGCAAAAGTCAAATACTCCATATTTCCGAAAATAAGGAATTGCAGACCACGCGTGTATTTCAAGTTTTTATCATATTCTGTAATTTTTATTTGTTTGTGAAACTTTTTCTCTTTTAATATCTTGTCTTGTGTTGTTAAGCTTTAGTAGATGTCTTAGTGGGCTGGCTGCTGCCTGAAAAAATGCTATTGTATTCTGAGCAAGTTGATGTTATGAATTTCAGAATTTTGATATTTAATAGTTTATACGGGAGTTTGAATGGCTTCTATTTTTTCTATTAATGGCTTCACAACATCGGTTTTTATCGTCGTATGAGTCAGTCATTCAATTAGTTTGCAGGCACTTTCGGTTGAAGTTATCGAAAAGTTTTCCTTGTCGAATTTTGTTAATATTTTTCCAAAAATTCTTTCTGCCTTGTATTTGATTCTTTATTTTTTTATCAAGATATCGTCCAAACATGGCACTGTAAATTAAAGCTCCAAAGCGTTAAATCTAGAGCAGATTATTCCAAAAAATCCATCTGCCTTATACTTTATCCTTTATTTCTTATCAAGACATCGTCCAAACATGGCACTGTAAATTAAAGCTCCAAAGCGTTAAGTCTAGAGCAGATTATTCCAAAAAATCTATCTGCCTTATACTTTATCCTTTATTTCTTATCAAGACATCGTCCAAACCTGGCACTGTAATTAAAGCTCGAAAGCGTTAAATCTAGGGCAGATTATTCCAAAAACTCTATCTGCCTTGTATTTTATCCTTTATTCTTCATCAAGACATCGTCCAAACATTGCAGTTTAAATTCAAGCTTGAAAGCTTGAAAGACTAGAGCACATTGGAGTCCTGAGAACAATTCAAGGTAGGTTTTTTGTCTTCCGATGGAAATTTTCGAATATGATAGTTTTTGATTATCTTTTATGCAAAATTAGGTCATTTTGCTCGGGATTACTAGAATCCACGAGACTGCAAAGGCAAACAGATCTTTCATTCTCTCTTTTTTTCTTCCTACCATTGAAAATGGGGGAACTTTGTATTCGGATGTTTTTTTCCTTATGGTTTTACTCTCAAAATCAGGTACTACAAATAATCATCTGAATAGGTTGAGTAATAGATAATTTTAAAGCTTTTTCAGGCGCGATTTGGGCGAATTTAAGTAGTTCGAAAATATTTTCAGTGTTGAGAAAAACGATTTAAAAATGTCTGTAGGCTTACAATAGCTTTTTTAGGTTTAATTTAGGCCGTGAAAACTTAATTTTAAAAGAATAAACTAAATTTTGAGCATTTAGAGCCATTTTGGAAATAAAATACAAAAGCGCAAAAAATATCTTCAGAAAAAATTGAAATCAATTTTGAACCTCTTTATCATCTGTTTTCGTTTTTCTAGTCAAAAACCGTTTTCTATTAGGCCTATATTTCTATGATTGTCGAATATGCCTAAGTTCTATTTTTTCGTTCAGATCTTTTTATCACTCTATGCAGTTGTGTAATTTTTAACACTACTGTAGGAAAATTCTGTGCTACTTGCACAGTAACCGGCTATCCTTGTTTAGTTTTACGGTATGTGGTCATCTTTGCAAAAATGCTGACAGTTTTTTTAAGAATACCGCAATGGCAATTACTCTGAGCTCATCCGTGTGCATGTTTTCCGAACAAGCTGCGTTTTCGAACGCAGCATAGGCTAACGGTTCTTTTTTTGTTTCTTTCCTGCTCGGTTACGACCTGCGATTTTTTCTGCTTCCCAAGTAATTTATTTTCGTTTATGTGCGCCTCCTTGCAAAATGTCATCAATTATGCAGTTGCACTTATCTTGTTTTTGTTTTTCGCTGGGCTTGTCTGCATGTAATTTGGTTTGAAAGTCTTTCGATATTTACCGCATCTTTCTTATCGTGATTTTTCTGGTTTTGATGTTTCCTGGGAAAAGCTTGGATCCGACCAAAACCTGGTTGTCATCTCAACTGATTTCTGCCAATTGGTTTTGCATAATAACTACCCGCACCGAGCTCCCATGGATCCTAATCGATAATATTATCATTATATAGACAGTGTCTATGAAATTACAAAATAATCGATGATAATCCATTAAAAATCGATTATAAAGACACTATTTTTCGAAGCAATAAAATCCATTATAATCGATTATAATCGATTATAATCCATTAAAAATCGATTATAATGACACTATTTTTCGAAGCAATAAATTCCATTATAGTCGATTATAATCGATTATAATCGATTTTTTGTGTGTGTTTATTCCACAACATTTGGGTTTGAGTTATGATCCATTATAATCGATTAAAATCCTTAGACGCTCGGCGGCCATCACTTAGAGTTTTATCTGGTTTTACAATGTTATTTGGTATTTATAGTTCGGATTGCCTTTTTTCACAATATTTCAAATTTTTAATTTTTTATTCAAATTTTTGATCAAAAAATTTTAAAATCGTGCGACCTCAAAAAAGACGTTTTGAGACCAAACATGTAAATTTAGCTTTATTTTGCTCATTTATTAGTGTACCCAGGTACCATGAGTCATTCGTAAAGTTATTTTAAAATTTTACCCGCCAGTTTTTACTTTTACCAGCGGCGGTTTTACTTTTACCAGCGGCGGTTGGTTGTCTTTCTCGGAAACATTTTTTTTCAATTAATTGGTCGGAGCGGGCAGCCTATTATGGTTAATGGTTTTTCGCAAACAAAGAGGACTTATTGAAATCATTAGATTTGAATTCTACTTTACTGGGGGTGTTGAATTATGTACCTCAAAAAACTTGTAAAAAAGTCTTTTTTGTTTAAGAATACCATTTGCCAATTGTAACTGCCATGTCCGACCGGGGTTTTTTCAGCTGTACACCAAATCGCAGAGAAGAATTTTGTGAACCTTCTGCGACATGAGAAAGTTGGTTAAATCCAATTTTCCGCTAGATTCCGGGGCTTAAGTTTTTTTTGTTAAATTTTAAATAGTTTTTTTTTGTGGGCTATGAAGTAGATTTGACC